TCAAATAATTAGTTTGAAGGACACTGGATGTGTCAGATGCAGAAGTTGACTTCATACTTAAGTCAAGAAAACATTCATTTAAAACTATTTCCACATTGATCAGCTGAAGACCAGATCATGGAAAGAAATGTCCTTTAAACAAACGTGCCATGGACTGGTTTGTAGAGAGAAGTGGGCAAAGTGACACATAATTTCTGATATGAATTCAGCATAATAAAATCATCACAGACTCCTAATCTTAACCCATTCTATTGGAACTAGCACTGATTTGGAAACAGAACTTTCTAAAAACATGTAATACAGGAATTCCAACTACACGTTGAGTGTAACATTGGCAAATTTCTTTAACGTCAGGTGAAGTTAAATTTTTTGTACACAAATATGTTACACCTTTTTTTCACCCTAGCAATTAGATTTTATATGTTATATATGTCTAATATATATTATACATATCACATATATGAGTATACTATATACATATACATATTATTATGTCCATATCTATTGCTCTCTATATTTAATATAAAATGGAGATAAAATAACTAATGTGTAGCTCTCTTGATTCCCTGATCTCTTTGAAATCTAAGTTTACATTTTACCAATTACTTTGGAGGGCTGAAGGGAATGGAAGAGACTCTTCTTTAAGACAACACAGATAGCTGATAATTTCACTGCGCTGATAATTTCACTGACCACTAGCTTAAGCCATGAAACTCAGGATGACAGTTTATGTACATAAAATAGGGTTCAAGAAATCACTGTAAAATATGTGAGATTCATTTGGGTGTAACTCAACTTTTAAATACTTTTCCCTTCTCTGTACTGAATAAAATTTAAATAAAACCAAGGCGAATACATTTGCTACGAAATTTTTGTAATCCTCATTTTGTTTTATATTACCAATGACTCCTTTATGTGAGTTAGGTGTTTTTCTTTTAAAGGATCTTATAAAATAAGACTTTGCAAAGCCACCATTTTAGTGTATTTAAATATTCATGATTTAATGTGCAGAAATGCATAATTCTTTACTCAATGCCAGGCTCTGATTTTTCTGGGTAAACAGTCCACTACAAATAAGAAATGAAATGTTAGTCTTTGTATTTAAACTGAGAATCTATTCCTTTTTAATGAATTGTTTTTATGAAATATTTTTATGTACAAGCTCAGGCCAAGTGTCTGAAAGACTTTTACCATTTTGACATGCTTGTATTCTTATTTCGTACTGTGTGAATGGAGCCAAATTTTTCAGAAGGGTGGATTGACGATGACCAACAGAGAAGGTCAGAAAGGCTATACTTTCATCACTGAGTAAAACACTGTACTCCACAGGAATTTTGGGAATGAGGATCCCTTTAAAAAGAGAGAGAGAGAGAGAGAGAACATATACGCATGTTACATGTTATACAGAATGACCAACAAATGTTTGTCCTTTAAGAGCAACGTATACTTAAAATTTTGTAATTGGAAGGTAGATTACAGCTTAACATAGCAATTAAAAGCTGCATGATACTTACATTGGAAAAATAATAGAATGTATATTCCAAAAGTAAAAAAATAGGTATCATCTATTTTCCAAAAAGGTATAATAATTCTATGCAAAGATATACTGTATTGGCAAATAAAAATAAAGGCACATTTCACTTAAAAAATACGAGGCGATTAGAAATGGTGTCATATATTTTTCCTAGGCTTACTTATTCTTAAAGTACATAAAAAACAACACCAGTTTTGCTTGTGACAATAATTTTTCTGTAGAGCGTTGTGTATGCATCCTGTCTGACACGGGTCCTTGACATAATAGCCCATAAAATATCCAAATCATAGTCTACCTAGAGAATTCCTGGTTCATTAATTATTGAGGTAGGACAGTCCACTCTGTCAGTGAGACTTATGGACCTAAATACATATGAAATTTGGGTTCGATACTGTCATTGTTCACCATTGCTTCCAAAAGAAAGGAGATTTTTATAATTTTAGACTCTTTACAATCTGCTCATATTATCAAATGCTTATTAAATTTTATTTGGTCATGAACAACATGCATACATTTTTAAGTAGAGGACATGAGCTTTGAATGAAGAATATGAATATAATGGAGTTTCCTACTAAATTTTCTTATTGATCTGAAAGCTTGTAACATTTATAGTTTAGTTACTCACCTTTGTAGTACTTGAATAAATTTGTCTTTGCTACAGAAAAAATGGACTCAATAGACAACATCACTGAGAAAACAGCAAGGACTCAATGATCTAGGAGAGATGAGGTCTAAAGAATAAAACGTAGCCCCAATGCTTCAGCGGTGGAAGAGCTGGTACAGACCAAAGATGCTCAAGATTTTGTGAAAAGGATGGATGAAAATGAGGAGTCTCTGAAGGTGATACTGATCATCATCAGAATAACTGATCAGTTGTTTCCTCTGGAAAGGTGCTAGATTGTGCTGAATTTAGCAACCCAGGCTGCGAATTTTTACATTAAATTTAGAGCATCCCAGTTAAACTATCTGTTAAGTTTGTCCTAATAGTTTAAACTACTATCCTTCTATCATCAATTCCTAAATTCTTATCTCTGGTTTTAACATCTCTTCTGCATTCCGAATTTGTATTTTCAAGAGCCTACTAGATATTTCTACATGGATACTCTACAGAGACCTCAATCTCAACAGGTCCAACACAGAATTAGTTATATTTTTTACTCCCCAGACTGTTCTTTTCCCTGGGTCTC